GCTAGCTAGCTTTAAACACCTGCGGTTTATCAGCTCTGTGCTGAACAGTGTGCAGTGCATGGACAGTTTTAGAAAAACAAACACAGCGTGGCATCCATTTGATGCCGATTCATGACGGGCTCGGGATGAGGAGAACTGCTCTCCACCGAGTTGTCCGTGGCCGGTGTTTCAGTAGGAGATCACCAGCCCCTCCAGCCAAGCTCATTGTGCCACCCAGGGGTGCTGTAGGTTACAAGTGACACTTAATTCAGTGCCTTTATTTCCCCTTCTTACCTTGGGCTGATTTCCAGCACCGTATTGAGTAGGAGTGGTGGCAAGGGGCATGCGTGCCTGGTTCCCATTCACAGCGTAATGCTTCCAGTTGCGCTCCATCAAGACTGATATTGGTTGTTGGTTTTGTGCATATGCCCTTCATTGTATTGCGAAACTTCCTGCTTACTCTTATTTTGTTGGGTGTTTTTAACAGAAATAAGTGCTAGATTTTGTCAAATGTCTTCTACAACAGTTGATAGGATTTTGTGGTTCTTTTGCTTTGTTTTATTTATGTGATGGAGTCTTTGATTGTGTTTATAATGTTCTGAATCATTCTCAAAGACCTGGGGTGAATCCCACTTAATCATGATAATTTTATTTGTTGATGTGTTGTTGGATTCTATTGGCTAACATTTTATTGAGAATTTTTGTGTCTGTGTGCATAAAGGAAACAGGTCCATAGTTTTCTAGTGATGTCTTTGCCTTGTTTAAGAAACCCTGGTGGCATATGGTTATGCATTGGGCTGTTAACTGCAAGGTCAGCAGTTTGAAACCACCAGCTGCTCCTCAGGAGAAAGATGAGGCTTTCTACTCTCGTAAAGAGTTACAATCTTAGAAACCCACAGTGATAATTCTAGTCTGTCCTACAGGGTCACTATGCATAGGAATCAACTGCATGGCATTGAGTTTGGAGTTTTCCTCGTTTGGGTGCAGTAGGTGATTTGGATGCTGTCTGACCTGCTCTGGCAGAGATCTGATGGACCTCCATTTGCCATCCTTCTTTAGTTACTCTGACACCAACCGTTTTTCCACAACTCACAGACAGTACTCACAATTAGGGGGGTTTATTAGGGAAGTCAATAGGTTACCACAAGTCAGGATCAGCAAACAGTCGGCGTACAGTCATCCATTGGCCGGTCCACAGCCACACCTCTCCATAGATTACAACTAAGTCTTGCTCTGGTCCTCAGCCTCTCAGCCATGTGGTTCCTTAGCCTCTGCCTTCCAGGGCCAGGAAGGCCACCCGTCACTCTGTCTCACAGGCCACAGTCTTGGCACTCTTCCTCTGGCTCTGTCCAGTTGTCTTCCTGCCCTCTCTCGTGCCTCTGGTCTCAGCCTCCACCACTTCCGACAGAGAACGTGCTCTGCCAGTGGTTCTGAGCTTGCTTTCTGCTGCTGCTGCAAAAATTACTCAGCCTTATGTCTGGGTGGTGTAAAGGGGTGGGATGGGTCTCAGGAAAACTGACCAATCCTTCTATTAGTGTTATTCACACCCTATTTGCATAGCCCTCAATTATATAGAGAGCCTTGGTAGCAGAGCCATCGTAAGAAATTTTACTCCACATTTGGTATTAGGGTTATGCTACTTCATAAAACCAATGGGTGTAGTGAGTAGGACTACTAACCACAAGGGAGAAAGACAAGACTTTCTACTCCTGTCAGAGTTACAGTCTTGGAAATCCACAGGAGCAGGTTTTACCAGAATTAACTTGGGCAGTGAGAACGAATTATTCCAGCCCTTTCTATATTCAGGGATAGTTTTAGTTGAATTAGTCTCCACGTTGCTGTGAATGTTTGCTGAAACTGACCGGTGAAGCCAGCTGCATTTGTTATGGATCTGTTCAGATTTCTGCCTCGGACTTGGTCAGTTTCTGAAGCATGTTTCTTGACCTTTGTCTATTTCTTGTAGGTTTTCAAATGTGTTAGAGTTCCTTACAGTATTCTGCTAACCTTTTAATTTCAGCTTGTTCTATTGAGATGTCACCCATTCCGTTTCTAACTCATGTTATTTGCATCCTATCCTCTGGTAGTTTTCCCAGTGGTTTGTTGCTTTTATTAATCCTTTTCAAGAACCAACTTCCAGGCTTGCTGGCTTCTATTGTTCTCTATGTCATTTATGTATGCTCTTTGTGATTACTGCTGGAGGCTTATTTGGTGCTCTTTTTCTAATAATTGTGTTAGGTTAAAATGTTGATTTGGGTTCTTGATTTTTTTCTATGCCCATTGCTGTCAATTGCTCTCTGCGTGTTGAAGGGTTTTTTTGTTGTTGTTTTTGTTTTAAATCATTTTATTGGGGGCTCATATAACTCTTATCACAATCCATACATACATCCATTGTGTAAAGCACATTTGTACATCCATTGCCATCATCATTCTCAAAACATTTGCTCTCCACTTAGGCCCTTGGCATCAGCTCCTCATTTCCCCCCTCCCTCCCCGTTCACCCCTCTCTCATGAGCCCTTGATAATTTATAAATTATCATTTTGTCATATCTTACACTGTCCAGCGTCTCCCTTCACCCACTTTTCCGCATCCTAAAGGTTTTGATATGCTGCATTTTTGTTCTCATTTGAGTCAGTGAATCTTTATTTCATTTTTATTTCTTCTCTGACCCGGCAGTTTTTAAGCAGGATTTTTTCAGTTTCTCTGTATTTGGTGTTTATCTCCCGATCCTCCCATTGTTTTCTACTAC